CAATAAAGAAACCGCCGACTCCGCACTCCGGGGACAATCACCCGGAGCCCGGCCAGAAGTGGCCAACATGCGTAATAAAGAAACCGCCGACTCTACACTCTGGGGGCAATCACCAGGATTCCGACCAGAAGTGGCCAAAACGCGTATTCAAGAAACCGCCGACCAGACAAAGGCTTTCAGCTGCAGCCGAATCAGACCATTAAGTTAGCCTAAAAGGATTAGGTGAAAAAATAAATAAAATATAACAAAACAAATCTATTAATTATTCCCTGCCCCATCGGCCTTGAGTGAATGTTAAAGTAATAATGCAAAGGTCGGTCCAAAATAACTTACATATATATTTCAAAATATTTTATATTTACATGAGTATAAATATACACTTTTATAATGTGTATATTAACAATTTTAATAAATTATTACATGTTTTTTACAATTTTTTTTGGTTTTACTTATATTTTCCACGATCCCGATCAAAATAGAGCATTTCCATTTCAATTGACTTATAAAATAATTATTTTTCTATGTTTACTTGCTTATTTCTAAGTTTATTTAATGTATTGACATCTGGGTTTCTTCAATTTATTGTATGTCTTAAAAATATATTTTTAAGTTCTAGGAAATTTATACTTTCCACAATATCCTTTTCCATTAACCTTTGATGTTTTATTGACAGTGTACCATGATCATCGTGATTTAACATTGCAAACTTCATTTTATTATGTTTACGCTTTCATTTATTATCATTAGCACAAAGAACATTCTTATTGTCCTATTCATGTTGATATTTTGTGTGCATTGATCTAAACATTGTCTTACTATCATATAGTGGAGTTCCAGTGAGTAATGCATTTTTATATTGACCCATAGTTAAATGTCTGTAACTCACACCTTTTGCTTTTTTATAAGAGGTTTCAACTTCATTTATTTTATAAATATATAAACTTTATGGCATAGACCTATAAATTCACTCATTGGTTTTCCAGTTTTTATTAACTTTTTTAATATTATATAAATCGATTCTTCTATTTCAATAATCGGATGTATCAAATTTTGGTTCAATATCACCACGAATATTTTTATAAAAATTCGGATTTATAGTATAGTGAATGAGTCTGTATTCATATAATTTAAAGCTACATTTTTTTGAAATTTGGGTTTCATGTATTGGTAATGAAAATCATACATTTTCCACTTTGATAAGTCCAATACAGCAAACAACAAATAAATTGGCTTATCTAATACTACAAAAAGTATTTTCATTTGGATGGCATAGAACTCGTCATTTATTTTAGTTGCACTATGAAAATTGAATTTTGAAATTACATTTTTAGCACAATGTTTTTTTCGACCGAGTTTATGAACATCTAGACGCTCCCATGTAGTCACCAATTTAACATCTACACGGTTTTCAGGATTTTCCATAATATTCCCATGGACTGAGTTGTTCATTCATTTAAAAAAATCTTTTTGAAATTTATTCTTGGCATTCTGTCTATGTAAAGAATTTAAATCAATATAAGTCTTTAGCCAAGGTTTTTGTAAAAAGCGAACCCCTCTATGAATCATGTTTATGTTCTTCTTGTTCATTTTGTATGCATTGCTGCAAATTTCTATAATGGATTACATAATTTTTTTTTCCGAGGTCAGCTATTAATTTTTTAACTTTATCCTCTTTAGATGCAAAACTATTTGACGGACAAAACGGAAGATCATTATGTGTATCATGAAGGCGATAGGGGTAAATTAGGTCTACTTCTCAAAAATATCCATACTCACTATCAATAGATATGTTATGTATATCAACATTTGTTATGTCATTCGGAGACAATCATCCAAAAACTTTATATGGAAGAAGTTGTGACCATATAAATTGTTTGCATCCAAATACATTAAAAACGATTATTCTTTTGTTGGATCATAATCTGTTAAGTATTTGATATTTGCCTTTGTATATCTATAGCAACATTGTACTAAGCCCCCTTGAATGCTATTTTGAATTAATATATACTTATCGATATCCACTAATAACTCTAATTGAATATTTGTGACCTTTAGCATGGCAGCCCAAGATACACCTGGTGATGTGAAAAACTGAGCAATAATGATCTAATAAGTATATTTGTAAACATATTTTTCTAAAATTTTCAAATATATCAGTCAATAGGAAAACATAAGGTTTTAAATATAATTGTAGATAATCTTTAAGAGTTGCACCGGAAAATTTAATGTTTCAAGAAATCGAATTTCAAATTTTTTTCCATTTGAAGTTTTTATGGTTTTGGACACCTACCGGGAATTTTAGCCAAGTCTTCGATAAATAAATGACAGTCACATTTAGAAAAATTATGGAAAAACACTTGAATTTACATAGTCTATACTCAAAGTTACATTTAGAATGAGCTGCACCCCTAAATAAACCTGTTAAATGACAATGGTCCCTAACACTATCATTTAATAATATTTTTTACAAATATAACAATTTAAAGAATCCTGAAGACCTGAACAAAGAACAATATATTTCGGTGTTCAAAACCATAAAAACTTGCCACATTTAGATTTATGCCATCAAGTTTAGATACTATTGCTTCTAACTTAATTGATGATCGGTTAAATACAGTAAAAACATTTTTTAAATATGAAAAAGAATTATGCGCCTATGCGTAAAAGGGGTATCTATGCTTATGCATTTTTAGGTTCAGCTAGTCGACTTGAGGTAACTTCCCTACTATCAAAAGCAACAATCCTAGATAATGCCTGGTCACAATTTTCCTGTTCAAGTCTAAAGGATTATCTAGAGTTGTATTTAACAAGTGCTGTTTTCTTTTTGACTGATATAATCAGTTTTTCACTACACTAGGTCTATCTTGGGCAGCCATGTTAAAGACCACAAACATTCAACTAGAGTTCTTAGTAGATATCGATATGTATAGATTTATTCAAAATAGCATTCGAGGGGGCTTAGTACAATGTTGCCATAGACATATAAACACAAATTTGGATGCAAACAATTTATATGGTTGGGCAATGTCACAACCTCTTCCATATAAACGGTTCGAATGGCTTTCACCTAATGATATACAAAATGTTGATATACATAACATATCTATAAATAGTGAGTATGGATATTTTTTGGAAGTAGACTTAATTTTCCCCTATCGCTTTTTACAAAAACCTTGGCTAAAGACTTACATTGATTTAAATACTTTACAAAGACAGAATGCTGAAAAACGTGTAGAGGTTAAATTGGTTACTACATGGGAGTCTATAGATGTTCACAAAGTCGGTCGAAAAAAAACATTGTGCAAACAAAATTAAATTAAAAAATTCAATTTTCATAGTGCAACTAAAATAAATGACGAGTTTTATGCCATCCAAAAGGAAAAAACTTTCTGTGGTATTTGATAAGCCAATGTATTTGGGTTTTGCTGATTTTCATTACCAATACATGAAACCCAAATTTCAAGAAAATGTAGTTTTAAATTATATGGATACAGATAAAAACTGATGATTTTTATAAGGATATTTGCGGTGATATTGAATCAAAATTTGATACATCCGATTATTCAGATAGAAGAATCGATTTATATTATTTTAAAAAAGTTAATAAAAAGAGGTTAGGATATTTTAAAGATGAGTTGAATCGAAAACCAATAAGTGAATTTATAGGTCTATGCTCAAAAGAAGCTAAGAAGCTCGATGTATGGGTGCCACACGAATTGACGCAAAAAAACATCTTTGACCGTATCGACGCATGCGAATCGCATCTAAATCCACCGTATAGTCCAGATCTCCCACCAAGTGATTACCACCTGTTTCTGTCCATGGCGAACGCGCTTGATATTCTGAAGTTGGCCACAAGAGAGTCCTGTGAAAATTGGCTCTCCGAGTTTTTTGCCGATAGGGAAGCGAGCTTCTATGAGAGGGGCATTATGAAGTTGGCATCTCGTTGGGAACGCGTCATCGAACAAAACGGCGCATATCTGACTTGAATCGCATTATTGTAAACAATATTATGAACAATTGAAAATTCAATAAAAATACCGCAAGTCTTTTTTGACAAACTAATATATACGAAAATTAGAATTAAGAGAACATACTCAACTATTACAGCAAAATTAAGAAGGGAAGATTTTTTACCCCAACCAATTATAAAGAAAACAACTAAAGAAATAAAATGGAAAACTCAATTAATTAAACAAATGTTGAATGTTGATTATTATGAATAAGAAAAATGTCCATGAACAATTTGAGAAATTGCTGACTCTATCATACTCTAACACACGAATTTCTTTAATCACTTTCTGCCCTCAGTACACTTACTTTAACAACAAAAATAAGTCAAGATGGAATATGATTGGCTCAGCTTTGAAATATATCGCAGGTATCTCTGATCACGTATGCTTAGAAATATAATAAATATAGAGAATAACATCAGTCATTTAATATAACAAAAAGAAGAAAAGCTATAGTCTTCATTTCATTGACGAAGCGAAACCTTTTGTTAGAATAACTGATGGTGACGGCACTGCCCATGTGAAGCCTTATGTTCCGATTTAAAAAATCTTTTGTAAATCGACAGAATTTTACCTAAAATGTTATACTAGGCCAAACGACGGCACAAAATTTAATGATATAGACGCAACAGTTTTCCGCGCGTTTTAGGCGTTAGGGTCGGCGTGGCAAAAACCTCTATCTCGGGCGGCATCGCTCTTACAGTTCCCAAAATTGTATCGTTTTTGGCTTCCTGCGTTTTGTGGACATTAAAAAAGTCTTGGCCAGATGGTAAAAAAAAAAAAAAACAAATTGGGGCATCATAAGAAGCTACATGATTAATTTCAACTTTCTATCACGTATCTGGGTGTTGCCAGATAATCTTATCTTTGTATCTCTTATAGTTCCTGAGATCTCACCGTTCATACGAACAGGCGGGCAGACGGACAGACTTCGGAATCTAATACACCCTTCTACTTTACGAGTAATGGGTATAAAAAGACAAAAAACAAATTAAAACAAGAAGCGCTATAGTCGAGTGCCGAAACTAAACCTAACTTTCTATCTTTAGTTCACTAGTTCCTTAGATTTTCGCATTTTTGGCTTTCCGCGTTTGCTCAGGCATCTTAAAATTCAGCTTTTTTAATCCGAACATTCGATCTTTAATAGTTCCTGATTATTCATTACATGCTTACATTTATATATATACAGCAAGGTCTTCAGATATGGATTTTATTAAGGATATCTTTACATTGTTTTTACATTGGCAAAAACAAAAAATAAAATAGTCTGAATAATTTACAAATTATTCTATGAAATATTGCAAAATTGTCAAAAGACAAGGATATAATATTGACCAACAGATCAAGCAACTATGAACTTTCCCAATCATAGCTAAGCTTAAACCCATTTGTGCGGTGTACTATAAATAATAAGGAAAAAGATGAAGATAGCAATAAAATGTGTTATTTACTAAGAGTAAGAAAGGTATATCTCAAAATTAATACGTTAATAGACTTAAACGAAAACGAAAAAAAAACCAAGGCTAACAGTTAACACAAGCAAGAAACATTTTTTCGCATCTTGAGATCTTAAATGTTAAAGGGGTATCATAATTGTTAAAATGTAACTTTATATTATATATATTAAACTAAAATAACTATAAATTGTTTAATGATTGTATTATTTTTTTCTAATTCCCGCAGATAGTCCATTCGTCATTCTTTTGTGGAATGAGTGAAGAAGATATGCCTTGTCAAAAATTTCGTATACTTTCCACAATCCCAGGAGGATGTTCCTGTACGCGTTCTTCAATGTCATATTTGGGCTACAAATATATTATTGATGGTCAAACATTTAAGACTACAAAATTTAAATAATATATAATAACAGACACTGTAGTCGAATTTCTAGGTACACCTTCATCATTGATGGTCATAGATTTGACTACAATATTTTAATATTAAAAACAACGGACACTTTATTCAAGTGCCGAGATACCTGTATATCTATAATCATCGGAGCAACAACAACAAGATTGTTATATTTAAAATGCCTACGGCTATTGTTTACTTTTATAAATATTTGTAAACAAAATATACCCAAAAAGTTGACCGAGCTTTCGATCCGCTCTAGCTTACTTCTCTCTTATATTCTATACTTATATACTATAAATAAAAACGAAAATTTGTAAACTAATTTTACTACGAGTAAGAAAAGTACAAAGGGTAACGAAAAGAAGGAAAGGAAGTTACGGAAAAACAGTAATTAGGGGTATTTGTTATTTAACTAGCATTGCTTATAAACGTTTACGAAAGTTTAATATTATACTAAACTTAATTCAATCTTCAATGATTACTTCTTTCATTGAATTCTAATTTTATGCTTTTTATGTTCGAACGAATAAAGCTGCTTGCGTTTATATTGGTTACCGGTGTAATCGGTATACATCCTCAATCATACTATATCTACGCATTTCAATCTATTGAGTACTCAAACAAGAACATTTAAGTCTGTCAGTCTGTCAGTCTGTCAGTCTGTCAGTCCGTCAGTCCGTCAGTCTGTCAGTCTGTCAGTCTGTCAGTCTGTCAGTCTGTCAGTCTGTCAGTCTGTCAGTCTGTCAGTCTGTCAGTCTGTCAGTCTGTCAGTCTGTCAGTCTGTCAGTCTGTCAGTCTGTCAGTCTGTCAGTCTGTCAGTCTGTCAGTCTGTCAGTCCGTCAGTCTGTCAGTCTGTCAGTCTGTCAGTCTGTCAGTCTGTCAGTCTGTCAGTCTGTCAGTCTGTCAGTCTGTCAGTCTGTCAGTCTGTCAGTCTGTCAGTCTGTCAGTCTGTCAGTCTGTCAGTCTGTCAGTCTGTCAGTCTGTCAGTCTGTCAGTCTGTCAGTCTGTCAGTCTGTCAGTCTGTCAGTCTGTCAGTCTGTCAGTCTGTCAGTCTGTCAGTCTGTCAGTCTGTCAGTCTGTCAGTCTGTCAGTCTGTCAGTCTGTCAGTCTGTCTGTCAGTCTGTCAGTCTGTCAGTCTGTCAGTCTGTCAGTCTGTCAGTCTGTCAGTCTGTCAGTCTGTCAGTCTGTCAGTCTGTCAGTCTGTCAGTCTGTCAGTCTGTCAGTCTGTCAGTCTGTCAGTCTGTCAGTCTGTCAGTCTGTCAGTCTGTCTGTCAGTCTGTCAGTCTGTCAGTCTGTCAGTCTGTCAGTCTGTCAGTCTGTCAGTCTGTCAGTCTGTCAGTCTGTCAGTCTGTCAGTCTGTCAGTCTGTCAGTCTGTCAGTCTGTCAGTCTGTCAGTCTGTCAGTCTGTCAGTCTGTCAGTCTGTCAGTCTGTCAGTCTGTCAGTCTGTCAGTCTGTCAGTCCGTCAGTCTGTCAGTCTGTCAGTCTGTCAGTCTGTCAGTCTGTCAGTCTGTCAGTCTGTCAGTCTGTCAGTCTGTCAGTCTGTCAGTCCGTCAGTCTGTCAGTCTGTCAGTCTGTCAGTCTGTCAGTCTGTCAGTCTGTCAGTCTGTCAGTCTGTCAGTCTGTCAGTCTGTCAGTCTGTCAGTCTGTCAGTCTGTCAGTCTGTCAGTCTGTCAGTCTGTCAGTCTGTCAGTCTGTCAGTCTGTCAGTCTGTCAGTCTGTCAGTCTGTCAGCCCGTCAGTCTGTCAGTCTGTCGGGTCTGTCAGTCTGTCGGTCTGTCAGTCTGTCAGTCTGCGTCGTCTGTCAGTCTGTCAGTCTGTCAGTCCGTCAGTCTGTCAGTCTGTCAGTCTGTCAGTCCGTCAGTCTGTCAGTCTGTCAGTCTGTCAGTCTGTCAGTCTGTCAGTCTGTCAGTCTGTCAGTCTGTCAGTCTGTCAGTCTGTCAGTCTGTCAGTCTGTCAGTCTGTCAGTCTGTCAGTCTGTCAGTCTGTCAGTCTGTCAGTCTGTCAGTCTGTCAGTCTGTCAGTCTGTCAGTCTGTCAGTCTGTCAGTCTGTCAGTCGGTCAGTCTGTCAGTTCGTCAGTTGTCGTCGGTCAGCCGTCGTCGTCCGCTGCCGCCCGTCAGCCTTGTCAGTCGTCATCTGTCAGTCCGTCAGTCCGTCAGTCTGTCAGTCTGTCAGTCTGTCAGTCCGTCGTCCGTCAGTCCGTCGCTCCGTCAGTCTGTCAGTCTGTCAGTCTGTCAGTCTGTCAGTCTGTCTGCCCGTCAGTCTGTCAGTCTGTCAGTCTGTCAGTCTGTCAGTCTGTCGGCCCGTCTGTCAGTCTGTCAGCCCGTCAGCCCTGTCAGCCTGTCAGTCCGTCAGTCTGTCGCTTCGTCAGTCTGTCAGTCTGTCAGTCTGTCAGTCTGTCAGTCTGTCAGTTCTGTCAGCCCGTCAGCCTCGTCAGTCTGTCAGTCTGTCAGTCTGTCAGTCTGTCAGTCTGTCAGTCTGTCAGTCTGTCCGCCTGTCAGTCTGTCAGTCTGTCAGTCTGTCAGTCTGTCAGTCTGTCAGTCTGTCAGTCTGTCAGTCTGTCAGTCTGTCAGTCTGTCAGTCTGTCAGTCTGTCAGTCTGTCAGTCTGTCAGTCCGTCAGTCTGTCAGCCCGTCGTCTGTCTGTCCGTCAGTCTGTCAGCTCTCGTCAGTCTGTCGGTCTTCGTCAGTCTGTCAGCCCGTCAGTCTGTCAGTCTGTCAGCCCGTCAGTCTGTCGTCTGTCGGTCTGTCAGCCCGTCTGTCCGTCTGTCAGTCTCAGTCCGCCTGTCAGCCCGTCAGTCTCGTCAGTCTGTCAGTCTGTCAGTCTCCGTCAGTCTGTCAGTCTGTCAGTCTGTCAGTCTGTCGTCTGTCAGTCTGTCAGTCTGTCAGTCTGTCAGTCTGTCAGTCTGTCAGCTCCGTCAGTCTGTCAGTTGTCAGTCTGTCAGCTGTCAGTCTGTCAGTCTGTCAGTCTGTCAGTCTGTCAGTCTGTCAGTCTGTCAGTCTGTCAGTCTGTCAGTCTGTCAGTCTGTCAGTCTGTCAGTCTGTCAGTCTGTCAGTCTGTCAGTCCGTCAGTCTGTCAGTCTGTCAGTCTGGTCCGCCTGTCAGTCTGTCCGTCCGTCGTCAGTCTGTCAGTCTGTCAGCCCGCTCAGCCCGTCAGTCTGTCAGTCTGCCGTCGGTCTGTCAGTCTGTCAGCCTTGTCAGTCTGTCAGTTCGTCAGTCTGTCGTCAGCTCCGGTCGTCTGTCAGTCTGTCAGTCTGTCGTCTGTCAGTCTGTCGCCCGTCAGTCGCCCGGTCAGTCTTCGTCGTCAGTCTGTCAGTCTGTCAGTCTGTCAGTTCGTCAGCTCGTCAGTCTGTCAGTCTGGCCTGTCAGCCCGTCAGCCCGTCAGTTCGCCGTCGTCAGTCCCGTCAGTCCGTCAGTCTGTCAGTCTGTCAGCCCGTCAGTCTGTCAGTCTGCCGTCCGTCAGTCTGTCAGCCTCGGTCTGTCAGTCTCGTCAGTCGTGTCAGTCTGTCCGCCTGTCGCCTGTCAGTCTGTCGCCCGTCAGTCCCGTCTGTCAGCCCGTCAGCCCGTCGTCAGTTCGTCGTCTGTCCGCCCGTTCAGCGCCCGTCAGCTCCGTCCGTCTGTCAGTCGCCCGTCAGTCTGTCAGCCCGTCAGCCCGTCAGTCTGTCAGTCTGTCAGTCTGTCAGTTCGTCAGTCTGTCAGTCTGTCAGTCGTCAGTCCGTCGCCTGTCAGTCTGTCAGTCTGTCAGTCTGTCAGTCTGTCAGCTCGCCGCCCGTCAGTCTGTCCGTCTGTCGCCCGTCAGTCTGTCAGCGCCGTCTGCCCGTCTGCGTCTGCCGCCCGGAATCGAGACATTGCGGAAGCCAGGGTCAAATGTTACAGGGCAAGACGCTTATGAACGATCAAGAGGAAGGCCCGAATTTGAGGCACCTACAGATTTATGACTGGGAAAGCAAGACGAGCCCCTGGAAAACGCAATAAAAGAGGAGAGCAAACGTAGTGGTGCTTTCTTTAACAGGATACGATGAAATAGAACGCGAGCGTGTACCTACCGTGAATATATAGGCGAGCATAAAGCCCGCAAGTGCCGGTAGTAACTGAGCCTCGGGTAACTAGGAAAATATTGGATGTGACAAGGCACCGACCAGATGGAACTTCCCAAAATAATGTCCTCAAAATTGCAATTAGGTAATACAAAGAGTACGTTTTATGTAATAACGCTTGGTCTCAACAGAAGGTGTGGCCCGGGACGCGCTGGAAACTCAGCGGTTGGTACTCCATACCAAAGGGACGTAAAGCGGTGGAGGAACCTTCCCTCGTACAGGGCCATGTATACTGATACGTGTGGTAAGGATCTGGAAAATACTAAATCACGGTACGAGGGTGCCTTTCTTGAATACGCCATCGTGCCTCTCCGAGATGCAGTATGGCTTTCTGAAAGTAGCGCTATCAACCATCAACACTGTCGTCGTAAACTGTGAAATCGCAGATAAGGCTACCTTTGAGGGAAAAGGTGCCTGTACTGGGTATTAGCAGGCTGCATGCAAGGCACCTGGACGCTGAAAAATTCATGATGCCGCAAGGAGCACTACTGGATTCGCCTTGCGGATGACGGGGCCATAGTAGTAATGTGCCTAAAAAGCCCCAGACGCGAAGGAAACTGCAACGAAGTTGGAACGAGCAGCCTTTGGCTCGATGTCATCAAGTGGTCTGCCCTAGTAGCGCACAAAGACTGAGGCAGTCCTAAACGGGCAGAAGCGCAGTGGAGAGCTTCTGATAGAATCGGAGAAGCCATAATCAAACTCCTGCCCAAGTCTAAACATACCTATGTAGGTAAGTCACGACCGACCATCGGTTTTCCCCTTAAAGACCACCATTTACGAAGCTTATGCGCGGCAGGTGTGAACGGCGGCCGATTTCGTGAATCGTGGCGAACACTCGGGGACCGAGGCACCTGGTTAGGACACAGGTAGGTTACTGTTAGCATGCTGTCACATCGATGATGTGCCGCCCCATATGGGTCCGAGCCACAAAAAATGAAAACTACAAAAAGGATGGCGACTTTGTACGAGATTGTGTGCTCCCGTGTTGTGCCTTTCCGTGGTATCCCCATGACGCAATGGTAATCGGGAATCATACTGATGATTTGTTAGCAGTGGAACTTCGCGTAAGGCACAGGTCGCCACCGAATCCCTTTCATCCAAGAGAGGTGGGTAAACAGCAGCAAAGTGCACTGATTGACGGCGAGTCATCTTCCAGAGGTCTTGGAGATGGATGGGACGTAGAGCATGGTACATTATGGACCAACGCAATGCAACGCGCTTATAGACGA